AACCCTAATTGGGGTCTGCTGAGTCGGTCCTTCCCACCTTCCCGGTTCGGGAGGTCCGGGGGATGGTGGCTTACCATGCTCCCAGACTTCTTCGTTCCGAGTTCTGAGGGCTTGGACAATCGCTCCATTGTTGTCGTGGCAGATCGGGCATTCCAAGGCCATATACTGTTGATCCGGGGCATGTTCCCGTATGTTAGCTAGGCGGCCCCCTTCTTGTGGGTGCACAGCCCCTGCTAACCTTACTTTCTTGGCCTGATGCCAGTTGCGAGGCTCGATCGGAGGTTCGGAGTCCAGCACGACCCTAGTTATACGGGTGTCTTCGCCGTATCGACTCCAAAAGGAGGCAGTATCCAGGGTACCGAAGTGGTAGGGATCTCGGAAGTGCCACATAAGGCGTCGGCCCAATTCATGGGACTGGATTTGTAGTATTGCCGGTATGGGGAGCTGGTGTTCCACGAATTGTGCGTGGAGTACGATCCGCTCTTCTTCCCACTCCGTAATTAAATCTTCTAAGGCTTCAGTCAGGTCGATTACCTCTTGGCATTTTCTCCCTTGCGGCTCGGATCTGGTCGTCCGTCCTTGCACCGACTCGTTCGAGTGCGATTCTTATGCCAACCGTTCGGGTTTCGAGGAGGTGTCGAATGCCGGAAAACCAAGTTCGGTACCTTTGGTTGAGTATACCAGAGGCCGATGCCTCTGGTATCGGGATAGACTTTAGTATCCCTCGGACTGGTTCCAATCGGGTCGTCCGTACTTTCGCCAAATATTGTTCGATGGCGTTGTGGATTTGCAGCTCCGTTACGAGGCTTCGTTCGGTGTCCGAGCATTGTGGGCAGATCGGAAGTCCGGGGTTTATCGGTTGCGCAAGCCGATTTATCCGAGCCTCATTCGCTGCCGTGCCCGATGCCTCTGGTATCAGGATAGGCTGCACTGCACCCGAGGATGGGTTCCGCTGACCCTCATTGGGGGTCATTGACGCCCGGGGGAAGACTAACTTGGAGTGCAGATAGTCGCATCCAAGAAGTACGGGGACGTCCGAGTTATTGGCTTGGACGTGGAAGGTGTGGGGGCTGGTGAATCCTTGCAAGGTTACCGGTACGGTACAGCAATGGGTTACCATGAAGGCGACTTGTCCGCCGACACCAAGTATTTTGGTGAAATAGCCCAGAGATTCGAGCTTAAGGTTGTTGGTCCGGCAGAAACGCTCCTCTATTAGGGATGTTTCGGCTCCGGTGTCCAACATGGCCATGGTTGTCACTGGTCCAATCTGAACTTCATGTGTCCATGCCCGGACTACCTTCGGTCGTCCGGTGGTCTGTAACGGTTCAAGCGTTACTTCCCTAATGGTCACTTCGACCGGGATTAAGGGTGTCGTTGATCCGCCGGGGACACTATTGGTGTCTGCAGACGGCGGTGGTGAGATTCTGTCCGACCTTGGTGGATCTACTCCGCCTTGTGGGTAGCCATCCGAGGGTCGTTGTGGACTTAGTCGTTTTGCCGGGGCTGATGAGCCTGGTAGCCCGGATGGAACTTCCTTAACCGAGTGATCCGCCTCCGGTCGGTTAGCTACTCCGTCCATTAGCGATTCGGCGGTTTCACCGGGTATGTCCGGCTTGCTATCCGTTCTTCCATGGACGGTTGACCTTCTCGCAGGGTTGAGAGGTTATATTGCATGTTGAAGAACGTGCGCGATCCGATTACAGTTCGTGCCGGCTGTCGCTGGAAGAGGTCCGCTTCCTGCTGCAGACAGTAGGCTGGCACCTGTGCCTCCAAAGGTACTGCTTCCCAGTCTTCGAAGTACTCCGTTACTTCGTCGGTCGGAGCCTCCGGCCGTCTACCTGGTTGGCCTACCAAGGACGGTTCAGGCGTCATTCTGGCGTCCTGTGAGATTGCGGGTCGGCGTCCCGATTCTCCGCTTAGCCCGTGGCTCGTAATGCCTAATTGGGCACTGAGCCGTCCGGGCAGCCTGGTGACGTTTCTCGTCCCGGCTGGTCGGGTCCGGTTTCTCCGACCGACATCCCCGGCTTTGCCTTCTGGGCCTGGGGGTCCGGGCACATTCTGTGTCCCGGCTGCCGATCGGATCCAAGTTCCTTGGCCCATCCTCCCAGGTACCTGTTCTGGTCCGGGAGCCGCATTACCGGCGTGGCGAGGTTCGATTCTCCGAGTATCCGAACCGGGGATGTTCGGCGCCTAGTTGGGCTACCGTCCCCGCCGCTAAGATTCTAGCGGCCTCGCTGACCGTTGCGGAGGCTAAATCCTTTGAGGTTCCGAGTTGTGTCCAAAGGGTTAATCCGGTTAGTGGGGTTATCCTTATCCGGTGGTTCCGTTGGATGACAGAGGTCGAATGAGTCACCGGAGCTCAGTGACCGGAGCTCAGTCGAATGAGTCACCGGCAGTTGCGGCCGTTGAACTGGTGGCGGGGTTGCCAACGGGGGTCGACCGCCGTTCTGACGGTTCCCTCCATTTCCCTGGCTAGGCTGCTGGTTAGGGCTGCCGTGACCGCCGAATCCGCCGGCATTCTGCTGACGGGGTCGCGGGGGTGGTACGATGGCCCAATAGTTCGGATTCGCCGAGCCTAATGGCCATCCGTTATCGTACCGGTACCTCCAATCCAGGTACCATCTCCGGTTTGGATTGTCTTCCAGCCGGAGGTTGGCATAGCCACAACCTCGCTTGGTTGTGGTTGCCCCACAGGCAGTGACCGCAGGAAAACGTTCCGTTCTGGGTCCACTGGAAGAACTTAGCTTCCACCCGGTCGACGTAGGTCACCTGTTGGCGAGCTTCCTGCTGTGGTGTCCGAGGCTGCCGTTGCACATTCTGGGCCTGGCCGCCTCCACCCGCGCGGTTGCCAAAGTTTCCGCCGCGATTCTTGCCGCCACGTCTTCCACCGGAGCCACCATATTGCGAGGCTCCGCCGCTTCCATATCCGCCTCCGGAGCCATACCCCTGGTTCTGAGGTTGGCCGTAGCCGGAATTCTGGCCGTAGCCCTGTTGGGGCTGGCCATAGCCGGGGCTTCGAGGCTGGCCGTAGCCCTGTTGGGCCTGGCCATAGCCGGAGTAACCCTGGCCCCGTGATTGGCCGTAGCCGCGGCTCCGAGGCTGACTCGGTTGGCCGCTATTTCCATAAGCAGGCGGCGTGATCATGGTCCCTGTTGGGGCCCCATTCAGGTTCAACGCCGCCATTGCCGCCCAAGTCTGTTCGATTTGACCACGGGCTTGAGGAGGTGGTGTCGCCGGAGGGCTCTGTCGGTGAAGCCCCGGTTGCACGTTCTGGTAACCTGGCGAGTTGGGTTGGATGTATCCGGGAGCCGGCTGAGGCACAGGAACGGGGGTCGCCGTCCTGACGGTGATGTAGTTGGTGGTATTACCACCTTTAACTACCTGGTACATCGGCTTTCCCCGGGTGAAGTCCCGTACATAGTCCCGGAACTCACGCGTCGTCTTCGGCATTCGAACGTCCAAAGCTGCCGAAGGATTGGCTCCGTGACGTTCGTCCGCAGGTAGAAGACAGCTAGTTCTTCGGTGAGATTGCCTCGTTGTTTGAGGTTCATGATGGCGTCGTAGTACTGCTCGGGGGTCTCTTGCCCTAGCATGTACCTCCTAGTAGTGATATCCGCGACGGCCGTGACCTGTCTGTCAGGGTCCATGAACCGAGCCGCAAATTGCTGCAGCCAGTAGTCGACGGTCCATCCATTTTCCTCAGGTTCCAGAGCTGACTGGTTCTGGTACCATTCCAGGGCTTGTCCAGTAAGGGCGCCCTCCAGCTCCGTCATAAAGGCGACGTTCGTCATTGCGACGTCGTCAGCCTCCGAGCGATAGATTCGCCGGATCTTTGTGATCCAGCCTTCCACCTTAGCCCCGTCGCCATTAAACTTCGGCAACTCCGCTCGGTTTTTCCGAGCCAGGATCCGGTTATTCCGTTCCTCGTAACGGCGCTGGCCTTCTTCATAGCCTTCAAGTCGGGCTTGAGCGATATCCTGCTCATCGGGTGGTGGGGTTTGTCGGGGTTGGGCTACCGGCATTGCCTGTTGGGCTACCGGATGGTTCCAACCTATTGGGTAGGCCGCTTGCTGGTTCTGCGCAGCCGGGGCGGGTTGAGGTGGGTACGGCTGTGGTTGAGGATACGGGTTGCCAGGGGGTGCCGGCTGTTGCGGCTGTCCCGGTCCGGGCGGAGGATTCTGCGCTCCGTACCCCTGGTTCGGCGGTTGGTTTGGTGCTACATACCCGGGTATCCTCTGGAGGACTCGGTTCTGATCGAGCCACATCCCTGGTGGTATAATCACATATAGGTCAGCCTGGGGCAACGGAACTCTCGGGTCCATGTTGCCTTGCTGAGGCTGATAGGGGACATTACCAACAGCGCCTGGGCCAACCAGACCTATTGGGTCACGGTTATCTAGCCGAGGCTGCTGTGGTGCGTTATCCGGATAGCCGGGGCGTACCGGGTCAGCCCAATTGCGCTGCCCTGCCGATACGGGTTGTACTTCGATCCTCGGCGGGTACGTGTTCTGGGAGCCCGAGCGTTGTCGGTCCCGGTTGGAATTCCCGGAATTGGGTTGAGAACTTCCCACCGAAGCGTTCGTCGGCGGTCTAAGTCCCATGCTAGATCCGGTTACCGGGGCTCGGAGGTTCGAGCCTCGGGGCTGATCTTGTCCGGTTGAAGTCGATGCTACAGGCCTAGTTCCGGTTGAGAACATCGTCGTTATGGATGTTCCTCCGTAGGCCGTAGTAGTTGTGGTGGTTGAATGGGTCGGTGCATTGGGGGTAGCCGTCGAAGTATTTCGCTCCGGCTCCGGGGCTGACGGTACCATCGGCGGCCTCAGTATGGGTCCCACCGACGGTTCAGCCCGAAGCATTCCGACCTGATAAATTTGTCCCTCGAGAGCCCCCGTTTGACCTGTTGGGTTCAGCAGGGGGTTGTCTCGGCGCAGGTAGTCATCAATCTGCTGACATTTATCCTGCTCTTGGGTGGTCCGGTAGGATGGAGGTTGCTCCGTCATTTAGTCCTCGAGGTAGGTCTTTTCCTCCTTCAGGCACGCGACCTCGATGCCCAGGTTTTCTCGTTCCTGGACCAGCTGATTGTGCTTTTCGCAAAGGTCGTTGTATCTGTTGGATACATCCGTGCCGAAGTCGTAAAGTTCTTGTTGGTACTTTAGGAGACGATCCTTGTCGATCTCCAGCTGGGTCTTCTCGGACTCTAGCTGTATGATCCGGGCCCGTAGAGCCTCGATGACTGCGAGGTTCTCGATGCGAGCCTGTTCAAACCAGGCTGTTTCGTTCTGGAGATGGGTGGTGAGGGCATGAATCTGCTGGCCAAGTTGAGCCTGGCATAGCCGAAGGTCTACGGCTACACCCTCCGGGTCGTTCTGATTCTGCCGGAAGTTCTCATAGGCTGTCCGGAGGAAGTCGAGTTCCGAGGTGAGTTCGTCGATCTCTCCCTCCAGGCCGATAATGCCCTGTTTGAGGTGGTGGTTCTCCTCTCGATACTCATCCACCCGGCCGAACATGTTGTGAAGCTCGGCCTAGCCAGCCTCGGAGTAGCCGAGGGCCTGTAACCACTGCTCCAAGTCCTCGCGCAGGGTGGCCACCTCGGCCCGAGAGTGCTCCAGCATGTCCTGGAGTCTGGTGACTTCGGTCTGGTCATAACGGCAGGGCTCCTCAGTTACTTGTAACTGGGCCTCTAACCGTTCGATCTCCTGGGTAAGGTCGTCGATGACGGTGTTCGCACGTTCGAATTCAGCTGTGAGCCTCTTGCGCTCCTGCTTATGCGAAGCAACCGTCTGGGACAAAACATTCTCCGTCGATTCGACGATGTTTTGCCCGGCCAAGAGCTGATTTTGCAGCTCGTAAATCCGTTGGCGGAGGACCTGTGGGTTGTCGATCTTCTCCGGAGGGGTCTTGGTCAGGTACCGCCGAGGCGTGAAGTCCGAGGCTCCAGTGTGTGAGCCTGGGTACTGCTTCGGAGACGGAAACCTGAAGCCCTTCCTACTGTCTGGACGCTCGGTCACCTTATTGGGTAACACGGTTGCGTCGAAGACATCGTCGGTCGGTGATGGGGTTTTGTCTGCCCCGAGGTCCGAGGGTTCGAACATCGGTGGTGTGGCCGGAAGGTCCGTGGTTGGCTTTCCAACCTTCGGTGAAGCCGATTTCGACTTACGGGTAGCCTGTGAGGCTTCAATCCGGCTGGCTCGGGTCAGCATGGGTTCACTGCCGGGGGTTATGGGTTTTGGGGATGACGGTCCGCCAGCCGAGGTTAAGTTAACCTCGGTAACCGAACCCTCAACCTCGTCCGCGGAGGCTATGTCCGTTGCAACCGACGGAATCCGGAATTTTACCGGAGAAACGGCTTTCTTAGCCGAGGAAGTGGGGGTTGCCGGCCGGGTTTTGGGTGTTCCAACCTGCTGGGTCGGTGTTCGAGCCCCGGTGTTGGGGGTCCGAGCCTCAGTGTCTGAGGCTCTGGCCGACTGCAACCTTCCCGTTGGTGATTTTGATGTTCCCGAGGTCGGCTTCGGTAAGTTCGACGTCCGAGTTGGAGTCCCGGTGAGGGTCCTCGGGTCCGGTGTGGTCGCCTTCGGAGTCCCGGAGGGTCGTTTCGGGTCCGGCCACGTCGATTTCCGACCGTTGTCCGAGGATTTAGGGTTGTTGCCCGTTGGTTTGGGGCTCTGAGCCAGGGTCAGTGGGGACTTAATCGGTGAACCCGCCTTGTGGGTCAAACCCCCGGGTCGGTGATACCGTACCCTTCGTTTGGCTCATCTGGCCTTGCTTCTGTTTCGATCCAGCCATGCCGCCCTGTTGGGGCTGCACAGGGTCACCCATGTCCGGTGACACCTCGGAGCTACTTAGCGCCGGGCTCGAGGCTCCATTGTTCGGGGTGATGGCCGGGAAAAAGACTGGCGAGGCACCTATTGGGTGCACAAGTCCAGCCGCAGGCTCGGAGTTCGCAGTTTGACCTATTGGGTCATGCTGAACCTCCGACTCAGCCTGTGGTAGCTCGAGGAACGTCCGGTCGTGTGCGTCCTCGAAGCTATCCTCCGGCGATTGGGTGAAGTCGTTCGCCAGGATCCGCGCATCTCGCTTCTCCTTGGCCGATTTGGTCGACTGGTTCGGTTTGCCGGACTTGCTCGATCAGTTGGAGTCCGACGAGTGAGGCTCATTGCCCGGGCCGGCATGACGGAAGGTGTATCCGCCTGCGTTGTCCCTTCGGGCGTAGCCTTGATCGAACTTCCGTTCGTATGGGTTTGATCGATCGGACATCTTCGGTGGTAGCTCTATTGGAGCTGTGAAGTAGCCTCCGGGTTGTCCCTTCGGCCAAGAAGTCAGACTATCCCTATTGGTGACTTGCCCGAGGCTGATGAGGCTTTATGCCTATTGAAGGTCCGAGGGTCCCGTGGGGGCTAAGGTCCGGTGGGGGGCTGAGGTCCGGTGGGGTGAGGGGTGTTGGTGTGGGTGTGCTTGTGCTACTTGCAACTCAGTACTGTTGTCAATACAGGGTACAGCTTACGTACGTCCTATACTACAGCACTGACCGCTATGACGTCACACACCGCTAAGTGGTCTTGCAAATTGCTGCCTACGTCACGATTCTGCGTGCCGCGCGCAAAATTCCAAAAAACTATGACTCACTTATAGCATAGGGAATCTCCCCGCTATCCTGATTGGTCGGATTTTATAATGTAAAATCGGCCGTCGTGACGTCACAATTATTTAAATTTTCGGATTAATTAATTTCCGAGATGGAAAAATTCGGAAAAATCGTAGAAAATTCAGAAAAATTAATTTTACCGACCAAAAATTATTTTAGCCAAAGGAAAGTTACTCCCTTAATTTTTCGTAAGTTAGGATAGGTTGAAAACCGAGGCTCGGAGGGTCTACACCGAGGCTCCGACGGTCCGGCCTAGTAAGGCTGGCTAACCCTATTTTTACCCGTAAAAAGATGTTTTAAGCCCGTTTTATCCGGGTGAAAATAAGTTCTAGCCGGCCAAATTACTTTTGGTCAGGTAAAAATGAAAAATGCCCGGCTATATCGGGTCTTATGAGGCTCTACACGGTTTACCAAGGGTCAGTCGACCCTTTTTACCGGGTTAATCCGTGCGATTCCGCTTGTTGGTCCGGTGAATCCCGCGCTGTTATAGTTGCGGGTGCCACTTAAGGCAAAGGCGACCCCGATTGATGAGGCTGCGAGGGTCCGCTGGGTCCGTGCCGTCCGTTCTGTCCGGGGATCCGCGGGAACCGCTAATCGACCCGGGCAAAGTCCGTCCGAAGGTCGTTTCCGCGAGGAACGTTCCGTCCACGCGCAAGGAGAGGGTCTGCCGAGGCTTTCTGCCCGCAAGAGAGAGAGAAGAGACCAGACCGTTCTGGCTGGCGGCGATCAGATGGGGATAGGAACCTTCGGTTCTCCCCTGTCTTCACGTCGGCCGTTTACGGATGTAGGTCTACACCGTGGTCTCAAAGGGTCCGTTGAAGGAAAACTCAACGATATGCTATCATGTGACAGCTGGCGAACAAAGGCTCACGATAGTGAGAGAAGGCTTTATTGTGATAGCAATAAAGTACAGAGAACCAAAACACAAAGGGCTCGATGTGAGCTGTAACGTGAAAATCACCGAATGTCAGCTAGTGTATGCTAATGAACGGCACATCGAGCCGAAAGCATGGGAAAAGCCTATGCGGCAATTAGGCAAATCCACACGAGCGAACGAACGCTGATAGGCCGAGATGTGGAAGTGGGGCGTGGCTCCGCCTACATCGAGGCCGGTGATTGGCCGAGACGTAAGGCTGGGCGGAAAGCTGCCTGAGTCGAGGCCGATCTAGCGCTCGACAGCGAGTGCGACTCGGTGTGAGTCAGCACACCGGAAGCGGGACTGTCGCTGGCTGCCATACTCGTAGGCTGCCATAGCGACTGGCCCAACACTACAATAGTACACTACCATTTTACAAAACATGAGCATTTTTTGAATTTGGAGGGGGAAAATGTTTCCTGGTTAGTAAACCTTTCGGCTCGAAATATCGCCGGTATAAATTTTCAAACATGCATTTTAATTTTCAAATACGGTGAACAGCCTACCAACAATTCCACAAATAAACCTACCTGGAGCATGTTTTCTCTATTTTCACACATTTCTACGGTACTGGCCAAGTGAAATTTGCTACGTTATTTAACAGAGTAAAAATTTCTTAAACCCGTAACAGCCCGCGTAAATCACGCACTTAAACAAGAACTACCAATCTTTCCGTACACACAATTTTAAAACTTAGAAATTCAAAAACAAAAACTACCAATCTTTCCGATGTGATTATACAATATGTTGTAATCGATGCAACAGAATCCGAATGCACTTTCTACCTTCATGTAGACTTAGCTGCTTTAGGGTTAGCTTCCGTGCTAGAATTAGTATGTCGTACCCAGTGGAAGGATCTTGATTTTTAACCGGACTGATACACGCTTTGCTAGTGATGCGTCCATTGAATCATGCGGTCAAAGCAGTACAAGATGAACAGGGATCGAAACACGGCGAAGATACCGAGGGTACTGTGCACTCCAATCATTGACTGGGGTCGCTCAACTGATCAAAATCACAAAAGCGGTCAATTCCGCAGTTTTGTTGTGTACTAGCCCTTCTGATTACACTGTAATTACATTACCCCAGAAATTCATGCGGTCGTGGAGTGGACGATGGCTGGGAAAGACGGCAACCGGCTCACTTCAGGAAATGCAACTCGTAGATCGCGCCGATTCCACACATACTACGTTTTCTTATACTGTTTTCTCGTGCTTATTCTTCTGATTTTCTCAGGTTATTCTTAGGTTTCTTAGGACTCAAAGTTATAGAAAACCGAAAATCTTTCGAACCTAAAAAAGTGATGAAACTTTAGAACCATTATTAAAACAGCACTACGTCAATCGACCCATTTTGGGTGATGACCTTTTGGGAGGAAAGACTCATCCGGAGCGTACACCATACAATGCTTTCACATATTCATTTATCATTAGTTTGTAGTTAGTTTTGTAGATTTCATCTTTTTTTTAAACATTTCAACCCAAGAAACTTAGAAACCCTACGAAACTTCAGAAACCTAAGAAAATCTGAGAAAACCTAAGAAAACCTAAGAAACCTTAGAACCCTAAAAATAACCTGAGAATAACAGAAGAATAAGCACGAAAAAACACTATAAGAAAATGTAATCCAAGCCCTAAAATAAGTATTGGTAGTCCAATTCAGAGAATCCAAGTTATCCAAGTTAAGTAATCCAGCTTATGTACTGATTGTACTCCAACTTCTGCAATCCAAGTTAAGGGATCCAAGTCCAAGTTCGAGTAATCCAACTTCGAATCCGAATCCAAGGTTCAGCGTGAGCCCTCAGCGAAGTGCGTCTCGCTGTGAATGCATAGCACGAGTGTATAGGATACCCTGGATGCGGCCAAACGGGAAGCGAAACCCTGGATACCCTCCGTTGGGCGTCGTGGCTACACCCTGATATCCAGGGAGGAGAAACTAGATTAATGCGTGATTCTTTTTCACACTCCTTTAGGCCTTACTACAGAGGGTGAGCCACCCACATTGGCACACTTTTGGTAGGAAATTATTTGTGACTTTTGGACTCAAGTCCTGTTAAATCCGCTGATGCAGTTTTGTCCCTTAGCTCTCTGTGAACGGAAAAAAAAAATAATTTTCCCATGAAGATTTTGCGCACACGTGGCATAAAGTGACCACAAGTGTCCGCGACCGGCGAAAAAAACGCAGACAAAACGTTTCACTTTGTATTTTTGTTTTTAAATGATTATTAAATGAAGCAAGCATTTTTTTTGTCACATTCAGTTTTTACTTTTAGAAGATTTTAAGGGCTATATGAAAAAGTATAATGTTGTCTGAAAACCTTTTTCAGGATCCCGAGGGAAAAAAAAAAAAGTATTAAAAAATTGAGGATTTACACTTTCAATGAAGCGGCTGGCTTTTGCAGTGGGAAACTCGTGGCAAAAAAAACCGGCGATGCCGATTTCGCTTTGATGTAAACAAATAATTATTTAGACAGGCTTGTAGAAGATATTCTATGAAATTCCGGACGAACGGACAATTTGTTAGAGAATGGCAGATGTTTCTGGACTTCCGGTCAGTTTTGGGAGCCGACGTCCAGAAAAACTCAACCATGGCTTTGATCAAAACCGAATTACACTTGTCTTAAAGAGAATTGATTATTTAACATTTTAATGCATTTCGTATGTAGTATGTACTGATCGGTAAAGGGGGATTTTTAGGAATTTGTTTTGCGAAAGGCATTCCAGTTTTGAAACGCACTGTTTTACTACCCCGCTCCAGGTTTTTCTTCCTGGATTTTGAAAGGCATCCTTTACTAAGCTCAGATAAATTTATCAAGTACAAAATACCCCAGGCTATCGGGTAATGTTTTTGAAAAAGTTGTTGTAGACGAAAGGAAGTTTTAAAAAATCAGTTTGTGCAGTATGCCAATGTGGGTGGCTCACCCTCTGTACACATTTACACTAACCACAGATCGGGATCAGCGCAACAAGATTTCAAACACGAGAACTGTCCAGTAGTTTTCAGAAATAATTCAAACTACTGTTAGGAGTGGATCACGGCTTCTAATTAAATTTTTCTAAAAGTTGCGAGAAAAGTGGAGATTGGAGAACGTGAATCCACGGATCATATGCATGCAGCCGCCACTGGAATGAACGCAGCTTGGCAAACGCATTTGGGTCTATTCGACAGCAGGAAGAGTGCCTATCGTCCACGCGAGACCAGGACGCTGCTGACCTGTGATTGGACGACAGAGCAATGGCGCCAAGCAGCAAATTAAACAGGCTGTGCCGAATCTGCCGATTAAACAGTGAAGGGCGACTGGAGCGACTATTATTCATTTTCGATCCATACCTCTGCTAACACGATTTTCACGATTTTCGTGTTAACTAAACTGCTCCAGACCCGTGTCTTGCAAGTGTTTTCTTTCCCCTGAACAGGATGTATGGCTCGCAACTGCTATCTCACCGCTCTGTTTATCTGTCTGTCCAGAGGCAGAATACTACACTAGGCCTCTGTGTGCAGAACACGTACCCGCTTGCGCGCGTAGGCTGTGGTCAGGCAGACAGCTTTTGCGCATCCCCTTCAGTTCTGTTAGCAAGTTATTTATTTCAGGCAATTCAGGGTATTTACTATGTTTGCTCCACTACTATATTCGTGTGGTTGTGCATGGTTCATTCGTTTACCTCTTAAATGTTTCAACATCACACCAAAGCAAACATGCAAAAGGAACGACAAAAATCGGTCCACTCTGAGGGTAGATATAGCAATTTAAAAATTTTAAAATCGAATTACAAAAAGCCAAAATTTTTTTCAACATACACTTTTTACTTTATGATATACGACGTAATAAACGTATAGGACGACTTTTATGTCGTATCTATTAGACCTGACCAGTGCCGCGCTACACTAGTGCAGTCCATTGTAGAACGGCACTGGCCAGACACGGCCGGCCGCTGCGCACTGCTTGTACACATGTGCAAGGACTTATCAAGCTTCTCATTCCATTGGAAAAAACGTTCCAGAGCAAATCTGATTGCAGATTTAGAATCAGCCAATTTTTCTGATCTAGAAAACTTTTGGAGAAACCTAAAAACACCAGCGGTTTTCTTCCCCCTTTTTGAAGTACCTAGCCTCCCAATCGCGAGGCGGTTGCCGTTTTGCGAAGGGGGTGTCTTGTTTTTTAAAGGGGAAGTCGCCCCTTTGGTTTTTCCGCAAAACCAAATTCAGATTCGGAATCAGGGCATTTTTTTGTTACGGAAACTGAGTCCGATTTTTGAAAAAATTTGTCGCCCCTATGGGGCGCCAAGTGCCAAATTCTGTGACAGAGCACTTTTATAATTTTTTTGATAACGGAATCGGAATCCATGCAGCAGATTTATCCAGATAACAATTTTGAAAGAGAGAAAATGCATTCCTTTTTGTTGATAATATTGCGACCGCCCAAGGTGGCGGTCATGTATGCCCCTTGGGGCGAGAAACTTTCTCTCAAAAATCGAACTCTGTTTCCGTACCAGAAAAATTCGCTGATTCAGAATCTGAAATTGTTTTTTTCAAAAACCCAAAGCGGCGCCTTCCACTTTAAAAATAAGTCACCCCCTTCGCAAAACAGCAACCGCCTCGCGATTGGGAGGCGAGGTACTTCAAAAAGGGGGAAGAAAACCGCTGGTGTTTTTAGGTTTCTCCAAAAGTTTTCTAGATTAGAAAAATTCGCTGATTCTAAATCTGCAATCAGATTTGCTCTGGACCGTTTTTTCCAATGGAATGAGAAGCTTGATAAGTCCTTGCACATGTGTACAAGCAGTGCGCAGCGGCCGGCCGTGTCTGGCCAGTGCCGTTCTACAATGGACTGCACTAGTGTAGCGCGGCACTGGTCAGGTCTAATATATACGACATAAAAGTCGTCGTATACTTTTATTACGTCGTATCTCATAAAGTAAAAAGTGTACGTTGAAAAAAAGTTTGGCCTTTTGTAATTCGATTTTAAAATTTTTAAATTGCTATATCTTCCCTCAGAGTTGACCGATTTTTGTCGTTCCTTTTGCACTTTTGAATTGGTGTGATGTTGAAACATTTAAGAGGTAAACGAATGAACCATGCACAACCACACGAATACAGTAGTGGAGCAAACATAAATACCCTGAAATAGGCCCGCGGTGGAGGGGGGCGGCCCTTTTTAGGATTATGGCCGCCGTGGGGGGGGGGGCGCGTTTGAAATTTACCTCACAGAGGGCCCGCCGTGGGGGCGGTCTTTATTTTTGAATAAAAATTAAATCGCATTTTTTTATAGTTTTTTTATTATATTTCTGGTAGTTGGATTTGTTGGTAAAACTACTGTACACCAACCCTGCACTTGACGGAAATTTGTACAGTGCAGCGACTGGCTGCACTGTACAATACACATTTCCGTCAAGTGGAACGAGTAGTGAGTCTAGTGACTGGCTGCACTGTACAAATTTCCGTCAACTGGCCAGCAACTCACACTTGTACAACACGAGCGCATTCACCATTCCTGGTATGCGGTAGAGGGGCGGGCGGAGCCGGTGCAAACACGTTCATTATAGTAGCTGTATGAGTGGTCTAACCAACAGAGAATTCAGCATAGCGCTAACAGGGCAAACTGAAGGTGCGCAGTATAACAGAACTTATAATACGAGGAGGATTGTAGTTGAGTCGGTAGCGCAAAGCTGCTGCGAGTTAAACTGAACACCAGTTCCGTAAGCTATTGACGCAACAGCTAACCGTGGATGGATGCACAAACCAACAGCTGCGGTTGGTAAATAAACGATGCTACCCCCCACGGCTGACTGTATGCGCAGTTTTTGAAAATGCAACCATCCACGGTAGACTGTTACGTCAGTAGCTTACGGAACTGGTGTTCAGTATAACTCGCAGCAGCTTTGCGCTACCGACCAGTTTGTAAAATACCAATCTTTATAGCTACTTTGAAAATTGTTTGTGCACCTTGGTTTGAGCTGTTTTCGGAGTGTATGGGTTCATTAGAAAGCTCATAAATCGCGCTTTTTAATAGACATAGTTTCAAAATCAACACTAATAGCATAAACGCGATAGAAATTTTTCTGTTGTGTGAGCATTAAAAAAATCTAAGCCAAGCACCAGATGGAACATCTTCAGGTCTGATGTTTTCAAATGGAACTTAAAATTATTTCACACACTGGGTTTATTCAGAAAAAAATCTTGAATAAAAAGCTAGGAAGATACAAGTTTTTGAACATGGAACTAATTCTTCTTACGGAGAAAATCACTGAGCGTTGGAGTTCGAATGACTATATCGCAAAACCAAGAAAACCCAGTGTGTAGAATAATTTTTTCTTTCCAATGGTACCAAGGACGACCAATTCCATTGCGGCAGTGGAATGCAATACGCGTAAAACTCTCCGAACTTTACTTCCAGTAAATCAAGGTTTTCGGGTTTTGCAAATGGTCCGCTGCATCGGTGGACCAGTTTGAGCAGACAACCACGCTACCTGCAGGCTGCGCATGGCGTTCATGAAATCGCCGCCTGCGCACGGCTGCAGAGGTACGCAGACACGCAGCCCGCGTGCGGTTGGGTATGCTTCGATTGAAACTGTGATGGCAGCTACGTGAATCGAACCGTGCTGCTGCACCCCTCCGTCGTTTTGGACCCGCGGTACCTTTTGGTTTTAGACGGATTTGGGTTTCTGTTCTGTTCTTTGCTTCTCAAAAGACTTCTCATTTTAAAAAGCATTTTTTTCTGTTCTAGAAAATGTAGTTACTGTAACTTCTCTGGGGATGAAGCAAAACCAGTCTATCGCCTTAACCATAATCGTCCTCGTACCGAATTTCATGGTGCAAAGCTCTGGCGGCAATAAGTCACTGCAATAATACATTCCCATTTGACAGCTAGCATTTCCCTGTAGAGCACATTTTTCTTAGACACATTTTAGTTATGGCTGTGGTTTTGCTAACACATCAGTGGCTGAATGAGCAGTGTTCGAAGCCGCTGTCTTGAACCTCTGCTTAGCGACAGAAGCAACGACTTCCGAGTTCCGACCACTCGCAGGTTTTCAAGAACTGCCGTCCCTGCGCGGCTGCCCTGGCCATACACGGTTTGCAGCACACCTGCAGCGGCGCCCTATCATTGTGGCCACCATTCATTTTGGCCACCATTATTTTGGCCACCAATCATTTTGGCCACCCGTCATTTTGGCCAACTAAGAAACTTAGAAACCTAAAAACCTAAGAATCTAAGAAGCCTAACAAAACCTAAGAACCTAAGAAACCTAAGAAACCTAAAAAAACTAAGAAACCTGGGGTGGCCAAAATGAGTGGCCAAAATGAATGGACACCTTTGCGGCTAGTGCATTTGATTGCTTGCACACTTTCATCTGTTTTTTTCATTTGTTATTTTGTCACTCCTTGTGCGCCATGGCGGTTCGGCGAGGATTTCGTTTTCCTCAAAAAGGTATTTTTGAACTGAAAATTCTTATGTTACAAACTGTAACATACGAATTTTCAGTCAGTTGGGCTCCTGCCTCTGCGATGCCCACGACGACTCCATCTCCCAGTCCCAGCAGCCCGCCCGCCGTCCGCAGCACCAGCGCCAACAGCTACACCCCACAACGAAGATCTTTATGACGGCGGAGGAAACCCGTACAGCACAGCAGCCGTTCTGGGATACTGCGCGCTGGCGGCACTGCTTGTGCTGCTGCTGTAGCTGTACGAGGTTTCCCGATGGCTTCGCGGAAAACGAGTGCCATTGCGGGCTGCTGGCGATGGATCTCCATCCTCGTCGACGTCCTCGTTGGACCGAGCCACCTTTGTGCCCAAAGAGGACAGTTCTGCTGCGGCACCGACGCAGCGTGAGCCCTCCAAAGGGTGAACAATCGGAGTCTCCCCCCAGCCTGAATATTAATTTACTGGTGAGTCTGTCTGACGTGTAGCTTATTTCACGGTTCTAATGGTTCTACCTTCCAACCAGACACTGACAGCATAGAAAAGGATAATTTATTTGCTATTATTTTGTACCGTGCTGACAGTCTGACTGTGACACTGTCAGTCTGTCACACTCACACTACTGTCTACTGTTTGTCATTTAATGAGCGCCTTGAGTGATTATTAAATTTTTAACCAAATTTGCTGTATTGCGCAGAGTTTCCTGGATTAAGATCATTAAGGGAGTGGAACAGTATTCTCACCACGGAAGCCTACTTCCCCGATGCCAGTTTTCTATAATAATTGTAATTTGTTTGATAAATTTTGGCGATTGCGGCTGCGCACTGTGGGAATGTTACAAGCTTCTGCCTTCTGGTATTTTTTAATTTTATCGGTGTTACAGTGTACAGTATTTTAGGCTTACGGGCGGTATTGTTGTTTTTACAAAGTAGAGTGAATAAACGTAAAAACTGAATCTGAATGCTCGCAATTTTCTTAGTAAATTTGTAGATCTACTGGTGTTTGTGACGGTCCACTAGACCACAACTGAATTAGTGGTAACTGGTAAATTAAATATTTAAAATTAGTTTTAAAAAATTAAATCCGTCCCCGGCGGACTCAAAAAAATGAGCCGCCCCCAGGCGGTTTTTTGGCTAAAATCCGCCCCGCGGCGGCCTTCCGCCTCCAACCAAAAAACCCCGGCGCGGGCCTACCCCGAAATAAATAACTTGCTAACAGCACTAAAGGGGATGCGCAAAAGCTGTCTACCTGACAACAGCCTGCGCGCGCAAGCAGCTATGTGTTCTGCAGACAGAGGCCTAGTGCAGTGTTCTGCCTCTGGACAGACAGATAAACAGAGCGGTGAGATAGCAGTTGCGAGCCATACATCCTGTTCAGAGAAAAGAAAACACTTGCAAGACACGGGTCTGGCGCAGTTTAGTTAACACGAGAATCGTGAAAATCGTGTTAGCAGGAGTATGGATCGAAAATGAATATTAAATAGTGGACAGAAATAAGAAATGGGTGGAAAAATACGAAATGTAAGTGCAGCTAGGCTAACCGCTCGGTATGGGCATTCTCGTCATTTCCGGTGGCGCTCCAGTCGCCCTTCACTCTTTAATCGGCAGATTCGGCACAACCTGTTTAATTTGCTGCATGGCGCCATTGCTCTGTCGTCCAATCACAGGTGAGCAGCTTCCTGGTCTCGCGTGGACGATAGGCACTCTTCCTACTGTCGATTAGACCCAGATGCGTTTGCCAAGCTGCGTTCATTCCAGTGGCGACTGCATGCATACGGTCCGTGGATTCAGGTTCTCCAATCTCCACTTTTCTCGCAACTTTTAAAAAAATTTGATCAGAAACCGTGATCCACTCCTAACAGTAGTTTGAATTATTTCTGAAAACTACTGGACAGTACTCAGTGTTTGAAATCTCGTTGCGCTGAGTCCGATCTGTGGTGAGTGTAAATGTGTAGTTAGGCCTAAAGGAGTGTGCAAAAGAATCACGCACAAATCTAGTTTCTCCTTCCTGGATATCAGGGTATAGCCACGACGCCCAACGGAGGGTGTCCAGGGTTTCGCTTCCCGTTTGGCCCCATCCTGGATACCATGGATTTTCTAAACTGGACTACTTATTTTTGAGCTTGGATTACGTTTCCTTATACTGTTTTCTCGTGCTTGTTCTTTTGTTACCCTCAGGTTATTCTTAGGTTTATTAGGACTTGAGGTTATAGAAAACCGAATATCTTTCGAGCCTAAAAAAGTCAAAAAACTTTAAAACCATTATTTGAACAGCACTACGTCAATCGACCCATTTTTGGTGATGACCGTTAGGGAGGAGAGACTCATCCAGAGCATCTACCATACAAGGCTTTTACATATTTATTTATCATTAGTTTTGTAGATTTCATCTCTTTTTTGTAGATTTCAACCCAAGAAACTTAGAAACCCTAGGAAACTTCAGAAATCTAATAAACTTAATAAAACCTAAGAAAACTAAAAACCCTTAGAAACCTAAGAATCACCTGAGAATAATAGAAGAATAAGCACAAAAAACTCTATAAGAAATTGTAATCCAAGCCCCAAAATAAGTACTGGTAGTCCAATTCAGAAAATGCAAGTTATCCAAGTTAAGTAATCCAGCTTATGTAATCCAACTTATTCCAAGTCCAAGTTTGAGTAATCCAACTCCGAATCCGAATCCAAGGTTCAGCGCGGGCCCTCAGCGAAGTGCGTATTGAATGCATAGCACGAGTGTATATGATACCCTAGGGTAAGTAAGTACTCTAAGTCAAGTAATCCAACTTATGTAATCCAAGTTTAGTAATCCACCTCGTCCTCATGTAATGTGTAATCGAAGTTAAGGTATCCAAGTCCAGGTCTGAGCAATCCGAACCTAAGTTTGAGTAATTCAACTTCCAATCCAAGGTTCAGCGCCGGCCCTGTTTTTTTAACCTGGCAACGTCTGCTAGGTGGAAAAACCACCAATAAAGTTCGCCAGTTTCTACAACGTCAGGACTATTGTCATTGCCGGAGTAATACATATGCATTAGACAGAGCAAAGATAACTCATTGCACAGGGCATTTTAGTTTTGTTATCAAACACACCATAAAAAACTACATTACTTAAAAAACACTGCAAAAATAAAGTAAAGTTCTACGAAGCATATCTAAATCGGCTGTTATGGTAAAATTTGGGATTAAATTAGTATTAACTTCACGTAGGTATCTCTCAATTTCAGTATTACACAAAAGTCTGCAGCTCTTCTGTAAAAAACTATGAATTTTGAAAAACAGCTGGGGGACATTCCACCGCTTGAGCATTGGCGTAGGACAGTAAGTCACAATGACCAGGGCCGCACACTTCTTATGATTCAGCCGTTGCACGCTAGCAGCCAAGCCACATCGCTGACAGTTAACTTATCAAAATACAAGGCAAATGAGGACATCTGAGTGCTTTCACAATAGCTTTAACAATATTAACACATTTTTTTTGTTGTATCACAATGTTTCTTCGACCGTAATAAGAGCAAGAACAATAGAACGACGTTGTGATCAAAGCAGCCAGTCATAAATATGGCTGACTGTGATCAGTTCTGCATGTAAGCTGGCGCAGCCCATCATCACCCTGTTACATGCTGATCGGAAATCACAATTTTTTTAATTATAAATTCAACAGAGAATCTTTTCATGATGAATTAATTCGTATAAACTAACTACCGTAGACATCTATTACAACCAGGTTGATTCGAGTACGGGGTATATCAAGTAGCCACGACGTTGTGTACAACGGAATCTGTGTGGTGTCGCACCGGCAACCTCCTTGCCCACACCGTATGTATTGTATATCGTCAATGCCCAAGCGGTGGAATTTCTCTAAAAAATATATTAATTTGTTTATCTTTTGAATTACACAAAAAATTCAATATTTTTAATACTAACAATTTTCATTTTAATTCCATTGGTGCTGTTTTTGCGGGATTACCCACTGGTACCCGCTTATAACTGGAGTACAGCTTAGGACTAAAAAGACGAATAACCCCATACGTTATTTTTGCAGTGTTTTTTAAGTAATGTAGTTTTTTATGGTGTGTTTGATAAAAAAACTGAAATGCCCTGTGCAATGAGTTATCTTTGCTCTGTCTAATGCATACAGCTTAGGACCAAAAAGACGCATAACCCCATACACAGAATGATATCCGTACGCATGTGGCAAGTGCACTTGTACGACAACCGGATATTTTAGCTGAGTCGTACAGCGCACTGCGCCGCATGCGCTCAGAATGCGTCTTTGTTGTCCTAAGCTGTACAATTAAATAATAAGTGATTACAAACTCAATTTATTATTATTATTTTTTTAGAGGTAAATTTAACTTTTTTTCCTGTAATTTTGGAAAATGAATTTTTTCTTATAGTGGATTTCACCTACCCTTGAAATTCCTTGAAATTTTAAACTACTGCAGCAAAAATTTTGAAAAAAATAATTGAAGTTCATTATATTACTGTTATTTTAGGGTATGAATTCCAACTTCGACAAAAAATTCCTTGATACCTCGGGCATTGCCGGGTTAAACAGAATCCGCTTTCTTTTGATATTGTTTTCTCACGTTTTCTTATGTTTTCTTGTGTTTTCTTGTGTTTGCTTGTGTTTTTTTTTGCACTCACAAATAGTCGCAATGCTGAAAACCAGCACTGCTCCTTTAATCATTGTAATTTTGTTTTATGATTCGAATAGCGTTTTACGATTCGGATACTGTAGGGTTTTTTTGTTCGAATTGTCCCGTAGGTAGTCGAAATGAGTGCCAGCCCATGTGCGGCAAAATGTCACACTCCCATACGCCCGGTGCGACGGCCGCCACATACTGTACATCACACAAAGTATTGACTGTTGGGCTTCAACAGGTCACCCACAATATTAATTAATTGTAATAACGAATGTACAGATGCTAAGAAATTAAATGCTGGAATTAAGTCGCAAATAAGACCCGTGTCAGTTGAGATACTTACTGTATATCGTGCAACCTCCGGTACTCGTACATATTATATCTGTAGACACAGTTCATTACAACTCGACCACAAGTTGTTGAGACTGGCAGGCAGGACCGGCTAAGAATACGCGTACTACACAGATTATTTTGTACCGTGGCTGAACGCTGCAAGAAAGTAGCGGTCGATTGACAGCAAGTGACACATTAAACGGTTATTATCCAATAAATGCAATCGCCAGTCCCGTGATTGGGCGTACGGCATTCTTTCCTTGACTGCATCTGTTTACTACTGGATAGACTGCAAAAACATTAAAAGCGCACCGTGCACTTTCGTATCAAACTGCATACTGTACTGCACAGAAGAATTTGAAACCCACAATATTTCATCACTACAATGCCGAATTTTAGGCAGATAATTTTGTTTAGTTTAAAATTATTTTACAGTATAAAAATGTGGAAAAAAGTCAAAGGATTGTGGGAATGGACAACACAGAAACAAACGAAAACATGTATTGTACGTGGAGACTAGAGAGTCAATGACCTAATACATGCTTTCGTTTGCCCTTGTGGCATCCAACTTTTATTTTTTTATATTTTATTAGATTACGGATGATTCCGTGGACAGCAAGTCCTGTTCCAAAAAGGGAAAGGATGCATCAGCTGTCTCAGCAACTGAGGAACGTGGCATTAGAAATTCATTGGGATTTTGCTGGATTCCACTTCCAGTGCGTGTTGCGCGTCCGGAATAATGAACTGGACGAGGACGACGATCGATCTTCCTGAAATGGTTTTCGGAACCCGGGCGGAACTGAAATTCTTTAATAAATAATATGCTTCAGTACAAATTATGCCCTTTTTTCCTCAATATCGCTGCGTCGGCCTTCTAACGGGTACCTGAACAAAATGCTGATTTTCTTTCGGCTCGTTGCTAGCAGACCATCGGTTGTGCCGTGAACAACTTTTTGAAAATTTTGTTACTTAACTAACAAAGGCAAAAAAATTTTATCTGGATAATTGAAACCTGCTCATTATTAACGGCGAAAACTTATCTTACAGGTTGAGGCCCAGAGCCAGAAATAAAATACGTAAACGTAAAAAAAATGTACGTAAACTCTATGTTGATGTCAATAAATTTCCGTAAACTCTATGTAAATAAAATTAAATTTCCGTAAATAAAATTAAATTTCCGTAAGCTCTATGTTGATGTCATACTTAAAGACGACGTATTATATGATAACGAATTTGTTAAATATTATCCACTACATTGTAATTCTGATCATGTTTTATTTTTTGCGAGCTCCGTATATGGTGCTAGCTAATTCTCGTTTTGACGTTATGCGTTAGTCATACTTCGTATTGACGTTCTAATATTATAGTTTAGTTCTAATAATAGCTTGTGTTCGGCACACACAAAACGACAGACACATCGTACCGGACACCGTACCGTAACCATACCGTCGGTAATTGTGAGTGTTCGCAGTCGGCCATTGCTTACTGATAAAGTAATCGCAATAAGTATTCGCACTAATAAAACACATCGCTATACACACCCTTTCACTACCTTTTACTCCGAACACAACATTTTGCACTACCTTTCATTCTGTGCACAACCTTTTCGGGCACTGCCTTTCTTTCGGTAGACGACTGCCTTTGACACTCGTTCACTCAATAGACCATTCACTCGATGCACTACCAAACTTTTATATAAAAAATTACCATTCACCAATGGTCAAAAACTTAAAATTTTTGATTAAACCAGTATATTGCTGGGAGAGAGTTCACCCTGCTGACGGACCACAAGCCACTGCTGAGCGTGTTCAGAAGCCGAGAAGGGATACCGGTGGTGACCGCGAACCACCTTCAGCGCTCATGTTGATGGCGTACAGTTTTGCCATCGAGTACCGGCGAACAGAAGAGTTCGGCCAGGCGGACGGTTACCAGTGTCGGTAGAAACCGTGGCAAAGGAAGCCCGCACAGATGCGGAGCTAAGCATCGTTCTGGAGTACGTCCAGATTGGATGGCCAAGTGTCGTACGAGAAGAGCTGCGACCGTACTAGCGGCTAGAGAGTGAACTGGTGACAGTGAACGGGTGCCTGTGCTGGGGCACGCGGACGGTGATACCGAAGAAGCTGCAAACGCATATACTGGCGTACTTGCACGAAAGTCAGCTTGGAGCGGCAAAGATGAAGGGCGAAGCTCGGGGGTACTGTTGGTGGCCGTCCATGGACCGGGACGTGGAGCGGGTGTCCAAAGCGTGCCGCGTATGCACCGAACGTGCAGGAGAAACGGCGAAGGTCCCGCTGTCACAGTGGCCAGTGCCCGACGGACCATGGAGACGCCTCCATGTTGACTTCACCGGGCCGTTCCATGGCACGATATTGTTCGTCGTGGTCGAAGGTATGTCGAAGTGGCCGGAAGTAGTGCCAATGCGAAATGCCACAACGGACGCCGTAGTTGATGCGCTGTTGGATATGTTCAGCCACTACGGGCCGTGCACTGAAATTGTTTCCGGTAATGGGACACAGTTCACGTCGGAGCAGTTCAGCGGATTCTGCCAGCAATACGGCATTAAGCATCTGCGGACGCCACCGTGTCATCCTCAATCGAATGGCCAAGCGGAACGCTACGTCCGGACGGTAAAGGACGGCGTATCCAAGCTCATGGCCGACCAGAAGCGCCTGCCGAATGCGCTGAGGGAGTTCCTCTGGCGCTACCGTAACGCGCCTCACACAGCGACTGGGAAGACGCCAGCCGAGTTGTTTCTGGGCCGAAAGATGCGTTCGATGCTGGATCTGCTAGTCCCTGTGCTGCTGACCACGGCAGAGAAGAACAGGAGCGCCACCGCCGAAACTTCAACCAGCACACCAAGAAAAAAGACTTCCGGTTGGGCGATTTGGTCCTGATGCGAGACTATCGCTCAAGCCGCGCAATGGATCGGATCAGTGGCAAAGTGATTAAGCGGGAAAGCCGGTGGATCTGGGAGGTACAAGTGAGCGTTCTGCTGTGGAGGCGACATGCAAACTAAATACGCCCTCGATTTTGGCTGGAGACGCCTGAACACGCGGAAGCAGTTACGGCGAAAGGTCACCCGCACGCGGAAACGCCTATGCAATTTCCGCCGGCAAAAGTGATCGAAAAGCCAGTTTCGCCAGCTATTGCGCCTATGCCAATACCATCGACGGAGTCACAGGCACAACCGGAGGTGAAGCCACGGCTGGAAGTGAAGCCGCCTGTCCCGGCGATCGCAGATGAACCGACGTTGTCAGTTCCAAATGCGCCTGTCCACGTACAGCCAACGGTTTCTGCATCCGCGAAGACGGATGACAACACGAAGCCAGTGAAGACTCAACTACCGAAAAGTACGAAGCCTGTGAATCCACAGAACCCAGAAGAATTACGCCGGACTGCAAGGCACAACGCAGGAGTCCCACCAAAACTGTTAATAAATTAGATGTAATTTTCGTTGTTTATTCGTTCGTTGTTTTCGTAAAATTTATTTTGAATACTTTAGCCGCTCGATGATAAACCATTACAGATACCTGGTCTGGTACGAAAAAACTCAAACGATGGTCAATGTGCGATGTATTGTTTTCGGCGAAATAAAAGCAGGGAAAACTTATAACAATTGCCGTTTTTGTGATAATACATACATACAATTTTGTGATAATAATACATACATATATAATAGATAATATATATAGATACATATATAGATAATATATATAATACATATATAGATAATACATACATTTTTGTGATGATACATACATACAATTTCGAAACTGCTGCCTAACGATGCCTCTGTTACTGGCACAGCCATCCGCTTGGTCAAAAGAACGTTCTCCTTACAGTGATCCAAGCCTTCAACGGACGGGATCTGCCTTCAACGGCTGGAAGGATTAACACGTGAAATCCTACGCCAAGAAAGACAATATTTTAGGACATATCTTGGGTAAAACGAATCGTTTTTGGTAAAACTTAACATCGACGCGTTCTATAATTAATTGTGCTGTCGATGTTTTTTTTTGTTTTTCTCCAGCGATGTGATAATAGCTGTGTTTTAATGTTACTGGAGTTGGCAATATTTTTCAAAACGTTTAATTTGTTACAGCGCAGGGCTGGATTTATTAATAAAACTAGTAAACTGACTGGTTTTGCATTGGCGTTCGCGTTAAACAACAGCGAAAGTATAGTTAGTTCTCACGCCTTCTTTACCGCACTAGCTCCAAACCACCACCTCAATAGCCGCTGCTTTGCATTGACCCAGCACCCGAACAATAGTTCTCTCATACCTCGCTGATATTTACGTACGGCATGCACCGCTCTTGGGCAGTACTTTCGTATACTGTGGTTGACAAAAAAATAGTGTTCCAGTTTCTGATGGGGTTCTCACGCCGGTAGAAACGCTTTGTGGGGCCTGCGCCAGTACCATGCACAGATCAAGTTAGAAAGAAACAGGTGATGGTGAGCTAGAAATCTAATCTTAAAAACGAGACTTTTTTAAACCGGGTGCGGCATTTCCGGGCGGTTTTATCGGTTATAGATTGTTGCTGTACTCTGTACTTCATAACATCCACTTTACTAAAGTGGAAGTTACGAAGTATAAAGAAAAATTTATAACCGGTAAAACCGCTCGGACAGATGAACATTTCCTTGTTCCTAAAACTGCGTAAATTTTGCCCGGCCAATTTTTATTTGCTGTCGCAGTAATGTTATTTATGCCGGAGTCACATTTCGAATTTCAGACAATTATTGGGTTCCTCACCGCCAAACACACTTGTGAACTTTTCGGTAACAATGCTTCTCATTTCGCACTGATAATTTTCATCGAAAGCAATTTTCCTGTTATAAGGATTAATTTTCGATATTTTTTTTATTCATCGATTCGAAATGTGACTTCGGCATAAATAACATTACTGCGACAGCAAATAAAAATTGGCCGGGCAAAATTTGCGCAGTTTTAGGAACAACGAAATGTTCATCTGCCCGGGCGGTTTTACCGGTTATAAATTTTTCTTTGTACTTCGTAACTTCCACTTTAGTAAAGTGGATGTTATGAAGTACAGCAAAAATCTATAACCGATAAAACCGCCCTGAAATGCCGCACTGAAAAATGTCGTATTTAGAACTGTTTCCAGTGCTTTATCCTGCAGAGCTGCTGCAAAAAAAAGAAACCTAAGAAACCTAAAAACACTTAAGAGCATCTAAGAAAACCGAAGAAACCTGGAAAATGTAAGAAAATCTAAGAAGCCTAACAAAACTACGTTTAAGAAACTTGATCGGACGCGGCTGTGCCGCCTGTTATACTCCGCTTTTTTTTCGTCTTTTTTATCCGACATCTCCAGACCATTCCAGATTTTTACCTGTACGATAGCTTCAAAGTTCAAAATACATATAAATTTTCATGGCGTTTCCAAAAGGTCGTCGTTTTGCGTACATATCACACCCAAAATCCAGAAACTTTTTCGAATCGAATTTTGTCAAATGGCAGGGAGCATCATCAGTACGTTTTAACGGCGGATGGACGGAAAAAGTATTACTGCTGAGAATTATAACAGTGACAACACGGTTCAATAACAATACATCACGTACGTAATGTTAACCCTTGTCATTTATAACTGCAACTCGCAGACCCCGCGCAAACTGCGCGGAATTAATAATGCGATGGACACATCATAACCCAGTGCAAAAAACAGAAAACAAAATGCCTTAGAAAACATTCCCTAGAAAATTTCCCTAGAAAACAAAATGTATTGACGTTTGAAATTCCTTCCTCTTGCTGTTAACGAAATGTTTAAGAAGAATAGCGATTTTATGCCGATTTCTCAGGCAAATTAGAACTGTCAGGGCGAACGTGAAAAACTCCAAAAATATTTATAAATTCTACAAGTTTGGCTAAAATACAAACAGAGGTCGAAGGTTGCACTGGACTGTGCTAAACAGCGCCGTGCAGCACACGCTTTACCATTAGTTATCAAGGAAGTAGATCTATATTATGATCGCCCGCCCCGTGAATCGGGTCTAGAAAAACCCGCTAATCAAATTAAAAATACGATTTTACCATTGAACTCGGCATGTTCCAAAAGTTGTTGCGAGGAGCAATTAATATTCAAATACGGAGTGGTGTAATTTTAAAAAAAAGAATTTTTTCAAACAAAATTCAAAAAATGTTTCACTTTGTCACCTTTCTACATAATGCTTATAGCGAAGAAATTCATTAAAATAGCTCCAAAAATTTTTATTAGCAAGGACGAAAAACTGTAAATATTAACTGTATACGAGTACAATCCGCTTTATTAATTTTCTGTAGCACCGAAAAAACTGCATGTCGCAAAATTTATCAGGAGGTACATTCAACTTCCAAACAGCCCATGTCAGTGTGCGTTTAGTTCAAGACCACCGGTCAGGCCGTACGATTGATTATACGGAAATTACAGGCCGCTGTATTACTGTTCCCTAAAATTAGTTAGAACCATATGATCGAGAACGGAGAATTATCTGTTGCTTGCTCCAATCAGGAAACCATAACAGCAAATCGGGTCAGTTTATGTGAGACGAAATTAGTAACACGAGTAATAATCGAAGAGCAGAATTGAGTTTCTGATAGCTGCCCGCTACTTTTTCATAACTGGTGGAAACATTTTGATCGTGGACACTAATAATGGTATCACTCGGTTATTCAATAGGCTTGGTCAGTGGACATTGTGAACCTTTGAATATTTCCGTTCAATCAGTCGGCAGTATTGAATGTTAACAGTAATAACTAGGCCCGTAGCGAAGTCCGAAGGATTGGGGGTGCGCAAATCGGCTGCGCCAGTTGTGCCCGTTTTGAAGTTCGACCTGCGCAAGCTGCGCTCGTAGATTTCAGATCTGGCCCTGGTAATAACGACTGTCAACGACCTCCAGTGATCACGGGGTCCGAACGGCGAACAGTAGGAACAGCAACAGCACGTCCTGTAATTTCCGTTCACTCCCTGATTAGTGATCTGCAAGCACTCGTATGGATCCTTTTCTGGTATGGTTGACCCTTTCTGAATACCGATTGTTTCAGAATAACAGTTTCCGAAAAAATGCATTTGACACTGATTCGAAACATCTAATGGCGTTTGCAGTTACCCGGGATGTTTAATGTTTATTGGCAATTATAGTCGCCATCGTAAAAGAGAATAGCGAGTAGCGGTCACACTGCTTAAAATTACGCGAATTTGGTCAAAATTGAACCGCAAACAGTTTTTTTGTGATTTCCCTTTTCATGCCATCAAATTCAGCATGATAAGATCAGTGCGCTGGGCAATAATAACGGTTCCGCTCTTATTTGGTTTTAAGCCGCTAACACTGTTACGGGGTCCGTTCCCTGTAACTTAGACATCTGTGCACTCGACAGGTCATCGGCGGACCGACGGTGGTCACGTACGTTTCCTGTTATTCTGTAGGTTAGGACTTTGGACCGCTTGGTCAGTGGTAGTGTCACGCTTTGGGCGGTTCTGTGCATTCGACAGCTCAGGTACCCTGTTGGCACCGAGCCCTTAATTCTAAGTAAAGCTTTGACACTACTACTTTGAGCTAAAGTAACACTTTGACAGTGCCTAATGCCTAATCATATAATGCTAAACAAACTTGAAACGCACACAAAAACAAACTCATAATACAAATGAACAAGAATTATGGTTTAGAGAATTAATTGTAGACCACAAGACATCTGAGGCGAAGCCGAAGATGACTCTTGTATACTCTGTTGCTAACTGTGATTGCGATATTACCACAGACAAAAAAAACTTACCGCTGCCATTTCTCTTGGTTTTTTTGTCGCTTCTTTCAGATTTTCGCCCTAAGAAAAACAGTAGTTCTGTTAACAACCAGTGTGTATTCTATAAATGCCAGTGGCAGGTGCGACTGTTACCTTTTACACCCTCCCTGAACCAGGAACACCCATGAGCACACCTACCATTTCATTGTCACCGTTGCTCACCTGGCTAGCTTTAATAGACGGGTGCAGGGGTGCGTCATCTGGGCTAGATACTGTGGTCAATGTCGGTGACAGCTTCTGCAAGTCATTTCAAGAAGGTTCTCGGGCTGGATCAGCAGACGGCAGTTAAGGTGGTACTTACCTTTCGTGAATGCTCAATCCAAACTGGTAAAAGTTATGTACTTGTCAACTGGTAAAAGTTGTGCATGCAGATTCATGCTTAGCGCTTTCATCTTATAGAGGAACCTCGCTAATTCTGGTTTGCTAGCAAATTGCGGACACAGTTCTCTTTGGAAATGCGGTCGAAATCGAATTAATGACAACGTGTTAAATTTTACTGTTTTCACGAACCAGGGCACCGCATAACAGTTACTGTACTGTGCTCGGCACTTTGCCGTGGCAGTTTAGCACTCGTCGTATGGCGATGTATAGTCGACTCAGCGAAACACGAGTGTTCCGCTGTTGCAGTGCCACTGCCAGTGCCAACTACTGCAATGCAAGCCTGCACCGAACAAACAAAACGCTGTCAGATGGTGATATACGATTTCGTACGTTCCGTCACTTCCGTGCCAGTAGTAGCTTTATTTCAGATTGCACAGTCCAGCTTCCGTATAGTTGATCTTCGGTATGAAAGCTCAAGTTGCGGGTTGATCTACGTCCGCTCGCGACTTTAATTTAATAAGTTGATGTAACCTAGCGGTCCTAGAGTCTGCCTAGCTAAAGCTAAAGCAGATTGGTCTACCTTGAAATTCGCTAAATTCGCTTTAGCTCTTGCGTAAGCAGATGCGTAAAAACTGTCTTCCTTACGCGGATGCTTGCAACTCCGACATATATGTAAGTATGAATGAATATGAATGAATTATTGATAGCGTTCGTTCGCTTACCGGTAGTGTTCGTAAAAAAAACATGCGCAATAAATGAATTCTTGGGTACCGTAAATTTCGATAGGAGTACTGTAATCTACAGTACCATTTTAAGGTGGTTGAACCAAGCGGTTTCGTGAATATAAAACGCTAGAATAAATTTCACCTTGAAAAACTGTGAAAAAAATAATTAAAAAATTAAAGGCTGTTTGTTAACAATTTACTATGTTTCAGATATTTAATTCTACTAGCCCGGTGCAAGCAAACCGCTTATTCGCTACATTTGCATAACTTTGACTGTGAGATGCAAAACCGCTTGCGTCGATCCCAGCATTCTGTTAAAAATTAGAAATACACACTGTAATACTCGAAAGAAACAGCTGCAGAAAAAAGGGCTTTTTTCTTGTAGACTGTGTATACTGTGTTAGACTGTGTATGTATTGTATATTGTAGACTGTACATTATTATGTATATTGTAGTCCACCGCACGGTTACAGTAATAAAGGTCCACCGCACCGGCACGGATCTCATTATGTGAACGACTGATCGAGCTACCAATGCTGTCCAGTGCGGTTGATTCGTAGTTTTACCATTTTCTCATTTTTCGCACAAAATGTTTAAGCGGATTAAATGCAAACAAATTTCCAGATGGACTCAAGCTAGGCAATTTCCTACTGCCAGTGTGCCTTTATTAATTTCTGAACACTCTTGCTCCTAGGCACATAGAAGAATGCGAGCCGAAATGCTGAATCATGATCTTATGAATTGTTTTCGAAATTATTGGAATTATTTACAGCTTGTGCAGTTGTGCTTACCTTAATAGCGTCAGACGTTTAACTAATACCTACTTTCCTATACCTGTAAATGGGTAAATACATATTGTACTTACTGCTTGATGCCACGATTCGTATTTTATTATTTTTAACAGCAGGGATTTTTCAGGTTACTAATTCGGTTTTTACAGGTGGCCGCGACCGACATATTCGTTGGCATACGTGCACCCAGAGATAGCACTACAGATGGACTAACGATGGCATTTGATTTCCGGTGTTTTACGGGCGTCTAGTTCGAATTTATCCACCAATTAAGGATGCACACAAAGGTTCATAATTACTCGTAGCTTTTAGGAATATGATTTATGAGTTTTTCTCTGCTGCGGCGGCATTCGTTCACATATTGAATGTATGATCTATCAATATCTACGCATCTATGAAAAACGTCAATTATCTACCCTCTTTGTTTACGTCCAAGCGTTTCGCGCAGAGTTTGAAATCAAAGTCACGAAAATTAAATGCTTCAATTATGACACCGGACGTCGCGACTGGCTATGCAAATCCTGTGGGAACACTGGCAAGGTTTCCATCCAGGCGGCATAAAATTGTACATATTTGGTCGTGACAGATATGTTTCTTTGGTGAGCATGCGAAATCTGGTGGTCTCCAGCGGAACTTATGAAAACTCCGCTAATTAACTGGCAGTCTGGCATTAAATGCGTTAATTAGACTACCGGCGGCCGCTCTGGTATAAATACCGCGGACGAATTTCAGTGCCAACTGGCATGTAGTTACATGGCGCTGTAATGTTGAAGCGTTAAAATTAAAGCTTGAGTTTGTTTTGTGATGATACGTATTTAACGGATTGACTCCCAGCAGGTGGCCACTAGAGTTTTACCCTGAACCAGGGTTCCACAATTTTTTCCAGTTTTAAAAATGACTTTTACGATTTATTTCCTTGGAAATCTTATGTATTACAATTTATTAGAGCGCGCGAAAACGAAAGCTTAAGTGCTTGTAAACACATCAGTGTGGTATCATGTACCGGCACACCTTTCTTTTATGGAGGCTTCTGGACGATAAAATTTTTCGAATTTTGATCATTTCGGTATTACAGATAATTAATGAAATGGAGTGTATACAGTTAATATTTGCAATTTTTTGATTTTCGTTGCCATCAAATTTCGGTGCTAGTCCAATGAATTTCTTTAGTTCACAACTTCACATTTATTGTAACTTTTTTTTGAAGGTAATTAAAAACAATCAGTTCGATTACTTGTTACACTATTTGAATACAAGAAACCGCTTCGGCTTCGCGTTTCTTGTGATCCACGGCCGCTTTGAACAAATCATTGCATTTACAGTAATTCGGTAAACTGACTAAATTCACTAAGTAGTTAATTACTAAATTCACTGACTGACTAGTTATTCAATAATTAGTTAATTCCTTAGTAGTTATTGTAAACTTTTTAGATAGAGTCTAGCTCGGTCACTCACTCATCTAGGGATTTTATTCCCTGCACAGCGGTGGTAGCTCGGTCACTCACCTACCTAGCGATTTTGTTTACTGGACAGTGGTGGTAGCTCGGTCACTCACTTACCTAGCAATTTTGTTCACCTAGCGATTTATTGCTCGGTTATCACTCACCAAGCGATTTCATTTTGTTCACTGAACAGTGGTAGTAGCTGGGTCACTCACTGCTAGAGCAGGTTTGTTCACTGAGTTTTGTTTCCTTCGAAACCTGGGCTAATTCAAACATGGTTCGGCAATCGGATTTTTTTAGGCATTTGAACATTTGAACATTTGAACATTTCAATAGCAATCAGGCAGTTAAAATTTAGCATGCCTGCAAAATAACTACAAATGTATTATAGTACATATTTGGTTCTTTAATAAACGTTCTAAGCACTGTAGTAATCTCAAGGTCACCTAGAAAGCTTTACCGAAGCCAGTTTCGCCGGAACCGGCATCGTTGGGACGGGTTTAAATAATTTTTTTAAGAAATAAAATGCATGTGACACAGTTCCTGAACATGCTGAATCTAATGGCGTTTACAGTTTTTTCCGATATGCTATAGTTTTCCCGATCTCGTTGCCTCAGATTTTTATGTAGTTGTATTATAGATCTAGTTCCTTGATAGTTCCTTGATAATCAGAATATTCGTTAGTCCACGCAGCAATATGTTGTAAATGGTCTTTCAAGTAGGTCACCTTGAACTGATGTCTGTACCGGTACCGGCATCCGAGCGATTGTCCCGGGACAGATATTTCTGAAAACAAAATGCACATGTGACCCTTTTGGAACAAGCTGAGTTTAATGGTGATGTCGGTTTTAATGGTGATGTCGGTTTTGTAATTTACATACTTGGCGGTTTTTTCTAGCCATGTTGCACGGGGCGGCCGATCAAAATACAGATCTACAATATCTTTCTTGATACTTACATAAAGACCAGTTACGCTCCTTCAGTTACGTAGTGGCCTCGCAAAGTACTGTAATTAACAGTCAAACGAACCTGAATCACCTAATCAATTTCTTATATTCGCCAATATACGCGCAGCACCGTGCTTACATAACTATACATATATTATCAGTTTTTTTCGGTTGCGTGTCTCGGCTAAACAGTCGCAGAAAATAAATCGATATACCTAAAACAGCATTTATTTGCGAAAGGAGCTTGGCATGTCTGGGAACAACTTATTGATCCCGACGATCACCAGTACTCCGGCTGTCTACCGTTTGCTAACTAGAAGGGTTACTCTGAAAGTCATCGCAGAGAAACACTATAAAATTACGTAGAGGTTGCCAATCCGGGGCAGCCGTGTAATTAAATTGTAATATTATCACTTTCTTATGTAAATAAAATATGAGAAATGGGACATCTCATGCAGCAAATGGAGATGCATTCGTCGTGCCGAAGGTATGTGAGTCGAAAGCGGAGCATCAGTTGCACACCCAAACCCACCCAAACAGGAGGAAACGAAACACCTGGAACAATCTAGGACGGAACCTCCATCCTACAGGACCTCGATGGCAACGGACTTCAACTTTGAACCGTCGCAAACTGTTCGAAACATCCTGTGGGATATCCAACCTAAAGAGGAGAAGAAGGAACAGAACTTCTTCGTGGGTGTGGTGACAACTAACCCGCTTACTGGAACTCCTCCGCAGCAACAGCCGCTGCCTCACCGTCCAGAACCGGAACGGAGTACATCGACCGCGGCACCACATGTGCCAACGTCAAACGTGCCGACAACAACGACGGCAACGTCAGGTACTTACACCAGTACCACGTATGCGACGCACACATCGACGCATGCGCCAGCGCCCACCACGTCCCACCCGAACGGAACAGCGCCTAATCAATGGGGCGCAGGACGGCGACTGGGAGAGCGAAGAAGCTCACACCCCAACATAGATGACTGTTCGGCCGCTTAACAATAAGCGACTCCGATTATCGGCGTGAACGAGCTAGGTCATACAATAACGACCTACCTCCAGGAGGACGAAGCGGACAACCGAATCCGGAACGCCCTCCCGCCGATTACCTACAAGACCCTCAGAACGCGCCTCGGTTCCGACCCACAGAAGGTCGGGTACCGCCGAGAAGGCCGTTCAGAAGTCAGCACGGAAGGGTGAACGACCTTCCAGCTGGATTTTACCAGCAGCCACAACGGCCTCCTCGAGCACCAGCTCCCCAGCCGGAACATTACCCGGCTGGATACCCAGATCAACGAGGTCAGGGATATCAAGATCAACAAGGTCGGGGATACCCACAGCAACAGAACTATGGATACCCGGACCAACAGAATCAGTACTACCCAGACCAACAAGGTCGGGGATACCACGCGGAACAAGGTTGGGAAGCAAACCCTCCCCCACCACCCTATGCCGTGGACGCCCAACAAGCGGCTAACCGGGCATTCCAGGAAACAATGATACGCGTATGTGCCCGTGGACGCACG